AGTATCAAGAACGAATCATACAACCACCAATCCAGCAAACTCATAAAACTTCTAAGTCAAATTTCTCCAAAAATGTTTGATGCCAATGATTTTAAGCATAATTCAATCATCAAAATGCATGTTTTACTTTGTGTAGTACATTTGTAGGGGGTTTTCAGATGAAGAAAGTTCAAAAAATAAGAGACTTTCTATTTGATCATGTAGTCACANACTCTCTGTTTCTCTCTAATATTGTGTTAATTCTCCAAACTTAACATCTGCGAAGGCGAAAGGGACAGGTGTTTGATGATAAGGGTTGATAGCTTTTCTTTAAATTCAAGTGTTGATTTGTTTAAAATATGAGAAGAAGAGGTGTTATTTTGCTGTTAGATTGGCTGCATATTCTGTTTTTGGATGGAGCTGCTGTCTTGGTGTTGGTTTTTGCTTTCTAAAGGCAATGGCCTGTTTTGTTTCTTGAATTTTCGGTTTTGGTTTTTTTATGATGCNCGGGTGGTCGTGGGGGTCATAATGGATCTCGTTCCTGTACTCACTATAGCCGTAGAGGACACACTGTTGACTTTTGTTGGGATTTACATGGAAAATCTTTTGATGCTGCTAATCAGGCTTCTTATCAGAATGACACATCGGTTGTTGCTTCCATACCTCAGTCAACTCCACCAGACACTAGGTCAATTACTATTATACTAGGTCGAGAAGAGTATGCCCAGTTCCTGTCCCAACAACAGGCTGTTCCATCTCCCTCCACTGCTACTTTTACCCAATCAGGTACTACTNGTAGTTACCAAACATGTTTTTTATTTTTATTCTCATAATTTGATAGACACAAATGACTCCCGAACATATTTTCTGTTTCAGTATTTACCATAAAACAGAGATAAAAATTGTCTTAGTTTTTTATTTTTTTGAAGACATGAAAACAAAANACCCAATCAGGTACTACTTCCACTTGTTTATTGTCCTCCACCCGCAGTCACTGGATCATAGATTCTGGCGCTTCTGACCACATGACTGGTGCATCCGATGTTTTTCTACTTATCAGTCTGCTACTTCCACAAGTAGTGTTACTCTTGCTAATGGTACTTGTTCTAAAGTTTCAGGTCTAGGGACTACTCACTTGAGTCCTTCTATGTCCCTATCATCCGTGTTATTTGTTCCTCAGTTTCCTTTTAGTTTACTTTCCATTAGTAAGATTACTCGTTCTCTCAATTGTTCTGTAACCTTTTATACTTCTTATTGTGTCTTTCAGGATCTCAAGACAAAAAGGAAGATTGATACGGGGCATAAAGTTAGTGGCCTATATTACTTTGATTTTGACTCACCTACTCGGGCTCTACAGACCTCGTTGTCTCCTTTTCAATGGCATTGTCGTCTTTGACATCCCTCTCTCCAAAATCTGAAGCGCCAAGTTCCCAGTCTTAGTTATGTGTCGTCTTTGTCTTATGAAGCTTGTCAATTTAGTAAGCTTCACCGTGTGTCATTTCAGTTTAGAGTCAATAATCGTATGTCTAGTCCATTTGAATTAGTCCATTCTGATGTATGGGGTTCAATAAAGAATATTTCACCTAATAAATATCCTTATTTTGTGACATTTATGGATGACTATTCTCGTATGACTTGATTGTTTTTTATGAAAGCTCGATCTAAATTATTCTTTATATTTGAGACTTTTCGTAAGGAAATAAAAACTCAATTTGGTTGTTGTATACGTACTTTAGGTTCCGATAATGCTCGGGAATATGAATCTGATCCTTTTTCAGCTTATCGTAGTAAAACTGGAATTATTCATCAGACTTCTTGTGCTTACACCTCTCCACAAAATAGTGTTGCTGAACGCAAGAACCGTCATTCGTTGGAAGTCACCCGTACCCTGTTATTCCAGATTAATATTTTTTGATATTATTGGAGTGATGTTCTTACTGTTTGTCATCTTATCAATCGTATGTCATCCTCTGTGTTAAATGGGCAAAGTCCATATTCTATTCTTTTTCTCGGTAAGCCTTTATTTTCTCTTACTCCTAAGGTTTTTGGTTGTGTCTGTTATGTTCACAATTTGGGGCCTGTGTTTGATAAACTTAACCCTCGAACTACCAAATGTGTATTTTTTGGTTACTCCCGCACGCAGAAGGGAAATCGTTGCTACAGTCCTTCTCTGCACCAATACTTTACTAGTGCCGATGTCACATTTGAAGAGTCTGTTCCATACTTTCCAGCACCTTCTCAGCCTTTGGATCTGGTTTTTAGATCCTCTCTAGTACCACTATTTCTTTCTCATCTTCAGATATTTCGTTGTCCACTGTGTTACCATCTACTTTACCTCTTCGTGTCTATTCTTGCCGTTCTCGCTCATCGACTGAAGTGCCCGTACCGTCTTCCTTGCCGCCTTCTGATCCTGGTACATCAGATAATTTAGACTCTTTACCTATTGCTCTTCACAAAGGTACTCGTTCGTGTGTTACTAATCATCCCATTTCTCATTGTGTTTCATATGATGCCTTGTCTCTTGTCTTTTCTTGTTTTACTTCCCAATTATCTGTTATATCTATTCCTAAGCATTCATAGGATGTATTGTCTGATCCAGGTTGGAGGAAAGTTATGGAGGAGGAGATGGATGTTTTACATCATAATGGGACTTGGAATCTCGTTCCTTTACCCTCTGGTAAACAAACTATTGGCTGTCGTTGAGTGTATACTGTTAAATTTCATCCAGATGGTTCTGTGGAGCGTCTCAAAGCCCGGCTTGTTGCAAAAAGCTTTACTCAGACTTATGGTGTTGATTATGAGGAGACTTTTTCTCCAGTTGCCAAAATTTTCTCTGTTCGTATCTTAATTTTTTTGGCTGCTAATCTTGATTAGCCCTTGTTTCACTTAGACATCAAGAATGCCTTCTTACATGGTGACTTGGTTGAAGAGGTATACATGGAGCAGCCACCTGGGTTTACTGCTCAAAGGGAGTATGATAAGAGTGTATGTCAGTTAAAAAAATCTTTGTATGGTTTGAAGCAGTCACCGAAGGCATGGTTTGGTACGTTTTCAAATACAATTTTAGAGCTTAGTCTTCTTCGATGTCAAATAGATCATTCTGTGTTTCATAGACAGACAGATGTTGGATATGTCGTATTGGTGGTCTATGTAGATGATATTGTGATTACTGAAAATAATTCTGAGGGGATTGCCAAGTTAAAAATATTCTTACAAGATCGATTTCATACTAAAGATTTGGAAAAACTCATGTATTTCTTGGGTATTGAGGTGGCTCGATCTAAACAGGGTATTTATTTATCCCAGAGGAAATATGTATTTGACATGCTTGAGAAAGCAGGTTTGCTAGGTGATAGATCGATTGATGTTCCTATGGATCCGAATCAGAAATTATTGATGGATGATGGTGCATTGTTTGAGAATCTGGGTCAGTGTTGCAGATTAGTTGGAAAGCTTAATTATCTCACTATTACTCGATCGGATATTTCCTATGCAGTCAATATAGTAAGTCAATTCATGGAATGTCCTAGAGTACCACATTAGAAGATAGTTACTCGTATTCTGCGATATCTCAAACGAGCTCTTAAACTTGAACTGTTATATCGAGCTAATGAACATCTTAGAGTGGAAGGTTTCTCAGATGTTGATTGGGCTGGCTCTCTTTCTGATCGAAGATCAACCACTGGTTATTGTACTTTCTTAGGAGGTAATGTTGTCTCATGAAAAAGTAAAAAACAACCTGTGATAGCAAAATCCAGTGCCGAGGCTGAGTATAGGGCAATGGCACATACGACGAGTGAGTTGACTTGACTACTACCCTTCCTCTAGGAAATTGGGTTTCCAGTTCAACTTCTTTTACAGTTGTTCTGTGACAACCAGACAGCTATCCATATCGCTGTCAATCTTGTGTTTTGCGAGAGAACAAAACATATTGAGGTTGATTGTCACTTTATTCAAGACAAAATAATAGTTGAGGAGATTACAACTCTATTTATGAAATCTGAAGATCAGCTTGCAGATATGTTTACCAAAACATTGAGTCGTACACGTCTTACAACTATTTGTTCCAAGTTTGGATTATAAGATATATACAGTCCAGCTTAAGGGAGAGTGTTAAGAATAATAAGGTAGTATGTGTAAATTGTTAGTAGTAAGAGAGTGTATGTATAATTCTTAGTATTGAAGGTTAACTATAAATACAAGTGATGTATGAGAGCTAGATTAAGTTTTTAACCACTCTCTGTTTCTCTCTAATATTGTGTTAATTCTCCAAACTTAACATCTGCGAAGGCGAAAGGGACAGGTGTTTGATGATAAGGGTTGATAGCTTTTCTTTAAATTCAAGTGTTGATTTGTTTAAAATGTGAGAAGGAGAGGTGTTATTTTGTTGTTAGATTGGCTGCATATTCTGTTTTTGGATGGAGCTGCTGTCTTGGTGTTGGTTTTTGCATTGTAAAGGCAATGGCCTGTTTTGTTTCTTGAATTTTCGGTTTTGGTTTTTTTATGATGCAAAGGTGGTTTATATCTTTCTTTTGCTTCTTATAATGTTTTGTTTTTGTGAATAAATAAAATTTCTCTTTTTTTTTTTTTTAAAGAAAAGTGATTTATACCTTTCTTTAGGATTGATTGAATTGACATTTGAGATTGTTGACCATATCATTAATTTATCAAATTAATTCAATTTGTTAAGTCTCAATATTATTGTTGAAAGAAAAAACACGAGACTTAAGGATAAAATTTGAAGTAGTTACCAAACATGTTTTTTATTTTTATTCTCATAATTTGATAGACACAAATGACTCCCGAACATATTTTCTGTTTCAGTATTTACCACAAAACAGAGATAAAAATTGTCTTAGTTTTTTATTTTTTTGAAGACATGAAAACAAAAGCGTTACCAAACGACCCCTTAATTTTCACAACAACTCTATGCTAACCTAAGGTAAGAAAGTAGATAAATCTACCGACCAAATATATAGTACCAAGCTTTACAAGGAATTTAAGGCCATAAATTTTGGTTCTTAACAAGGGTTGCCTACCATGGAACCTCCAGCGGCTGTAGAATAAGCGGTACTTCCAGTAGGTGTGGCTACTATGACTCCATCACCTTGCACCTATCAATAAATGATGACAAAGACATAGGGCATAGAATCAAACATGCGGCGATATCAAAGTTTACATTAGGAAAATTTAGCATAAATGGTGATTGCAGTTGGAAGTTTATAATAAATTTTGACTCTGCTATAAGATGGCAAGCATCAAAAAAGTATTGACTACGTGCCGGCAGGAAGTTACTGATAGAAAATTGATCGTGAACTCATAAATTCACTTGTTATACCTTGGTTATGAGGCGGTCATGTTCATAACATTCAATTTTGGAAAGGTATGGGTTTGATCCACGATCAACTACAACCTCATTGAGGACGTCAAATACTTTCCCAGGCATTGCTTTCCCATTTCGAAAAATCTCACAGTGGAGACGCATTCTTAGAGTTATATAAACACCATCTAGTGTGTTGTTCCCATGGATGACTTGTCTTAAGTCCTGTTTATAGTCTTCAAACTGTTTCAGACGAAAGATAAAGTGAAAAGAAAGATCTCCTATAAAGAGACTTCAAAAAATAGTGAGAGTTAAGAAGCGTACAGTATGGGAAGTGAGAAATCCAAGAGATCCAAGATTAAATGAGACAACAGGGGGAACAGCACCTCTAAATAAATTTGATGCGTGGAGTATAACCCCATCTCCTCCCAAACAAGCTACTAGATCTACCCTCTCATGAAGATCACTGCATTGAGGACATTAGGTAAGATCAAAACTCTTTATGGATTATGTAGACATGAAAAGTATGAATGCTTTTCATTCTAGACCAATGAGTTCCGGCACCTGGTATCTTGACTATAGAAGGTCTGAACAAAACCAAACCCAGGGATTCTGGCAAAAATGTCATGTACCTCAGGTTCAACAAGAACATTCTTCTTCTCTTGGTGATACAAGAAAGAAGCAACCTGCATTTAAGGAGAAAATGTTGTTAAAATGGCTACACTCCTGATCTATAAACAATCCTGGATGTACAAGAATTTGCTACACCAAAATATCTTTCAAACAGCAGCAGCAAGTATAATTCAGAACTGAGAATATTTTTTAAAATATCAACATTTCCATTTATAAATCAATTCATTCTGAAACACACATATCCTGACAATTTTGGCCATCCAATGTTCAAGTTCCCACCAAAATTAATAAATTGATAATGCTATTGCCAGTAGACCTAACAGTATGAGCTGGATAAAATGGAATCAGTTCGGGGGATGATAGACCTTCAATCTCGCAAGGTAATGAGAATGGTTCAAATTTGACATAGTAAATTCATTTGGAGTTGTTCGTCTTCTTCAATCTCCAAAAAATTGTTGGACAGATGGCTTCACAAAAACTATTTCCTTATAAATCAACTCCTTTTTGGATTCCTAAACAGATTTTAGCTCCAGTCAATTATGGGACGAAGGGTCAGATATGAACAAGGAAAGAGGCATATTGTATAGGGTATAGGTGTATACACTAGTAATAAGCCACATGCCAACTAGCTCCTGGAAAGGCTTAATAGTTATCTCTACCATCATGTCAGTATCAAGAACGAATCATACAACTACCAATCCAGCAAACTCATAAAACTATTTCCTTATAAATCAACTCCGTTTGGATTCCTAAACAGATTTTAGCTCCAGTCAATTATGGGACGAAGGGTCAGGTATGAACAAGGAAAGAGGCATATTGTGTAGGGTATAGGTGTATACACTAGTAATAAGCCACATGCCAACTACCACCTGGAAAGGCTTAATAGTTATCTCTACCATCATGTCAGTATCAAGAACGAATCATACAACCACCAATCCAGCAAACTCATAAAACTTCTAAGTCAAATTTCTCAAAAAATGTTTGATGCCAATGATTTTAAGCATAATTCAATCATCAAAATGCATGTTTTACTTTGTGTAGTACATTTGTAGGGGGGTTTCAGATGAAGAAAGTTCAAAAAATAAGAGACTTTCTATTTGATCATGTAGTCACATATGCAATATCTGAGAGAATTTGTATTTTGATGCTGTTACTCATAAAATTATATTACAAAAAATTCTAATACAGCTTTCACAAAGTCCTAAAAAAGAAAATTAACTAAAACTAAGACAGAAATCACAAAACTATAACCCTTGGATTCTACCATGTTGAAACCCAATAAAAAATAAAAATTACTAGCTAGATCAAACAAGTGTAATCGAAAGGAAACCAAAACCAATCCATCATAAACTCTAAAAAGGAAAACAAAGAAAGAAAGACATCCCATACAAGGTTTGCTTTATTCTTCCCAAACAAGTTTACACTGCACCAAAAAAAGGGCACAATGTGGTTGCCCTCAGATTTAAACATACAACCTCATCGTGGTTAGTCTGACACGTCTACCAGTGCATCAACCAATAGTCTGACACTTCTACCAGTGCATCAAGCAATGGCCCCTAAGAATACAACAAAATATATGATAATTTAATATTTTTTTATCTAGTACTACAAGATTCCAATCACAGAATGGCAAAAAAGAAATAGAACATCTAACAAATTAGGTCTCCTACAGGTATGGTCTGTGGGCTTGGGTGTCATTCATATAACATCTAACTAACTAATTTTCGAGTTCCTCCTTTCCTTTTTTGCATAATTTTCCAAGCTATTGACAATACATATATGCCTCATGCATTCTCTGAGTACTTGGATCGTGGGCCAGTTTGGTACATGTTGTGGATACGGACGGTATGCAATACAACACTTTGTTGGTACGTGATGTGCTGAGGGTAAACTTAGCTGGTACATTACTTTGGGTCACAATTCATTTTGAAATATTTNCATATGCAATATCTGAGAGAATTTGTATTTTGATGCTGTTACTCATAAAATTATATTACAAAAAATTCTAATACAGCTTTCACAAAGTCCTAAAAAAGAAAATTAACTAAAACTAAGACAGAAATCACAAAACTATAACCCTAGGATTCTACCATGTTGAAACCCAATAAAAAATAAAAATTACTAGCTAGATCAAACAAGTGTAATCGAAAGGAAACCAAAACCAATCCATCATAAACTCTAAAAAGGAAAACAAAGAAAGAAAGACATCCCATACAAGGTTTGCTTTATTCTTCCCAAACAAGTTTACACTGCACCAAAAAAAGGGCACAATGTGGTTGCCCTCAGATTTAAACCTACAACCTCATCGTGGTTAGTCTGACACGTCTACCAGTGCATCAACCAATAGTCTGACACTTCTACCAGTGCATCAAGCAATGGCCCCTAAGAATACAACAAAATATATGATAATTTAATATTTTTTTATCTAGTACTACAAGATTCCAATCACAGAATGGCAAAAAAGAAATAGAACATCTAACAAATTAGGTCTCCTACAGGTATGGTCTGTGGGCTTGGGTGTCATTCATATAACATCTAACTAACTAATTTTCGAGTTCCTCCTTTCCTTTTTTGCATAATTTTCCAAGCTATTGACAATACATATATGCCTCATGCATTCTCTGAGTACTTGGATCGTGGGCCAGTTTGGTACATGTTGTGGATACGGACGGTATGCAATACAACACTTTGTTGGTACGTGATGTGCTGAGGGTAAACTTAGCTGGTACATTACTTTGGGTCACAATTCATTTTGAAATATTTATCTCGATCATTTTGACTACTATAAGAAATTATACAAAGTTACACATCTATACACAAATAGTCAATTAATATTTATTTTAGAATAGTGAAGAGATTTCTATTATTTGAAATTATATATGCATTCATCCACAGAGTCAATTAATATTTTCTTTATATTTGCGGGTTTAGATTACGATTTAGGATCAGAGATTATGGTGATCTAGACCACGAACCTACCCTGTCTGGGATCTTTGCCCCCAGATCAATGGGTCATCTGGTTTAGCGATTTCTAGTAACTGTGATGAAGATAACACACCTACACACAAGCACACAGAAAGAAAGTAAAGAACAGAAAAGGAAAAGGAAAAGAAAAGGGGAGAAGGGAGCACAATTGTCAACACAATATTACCACCAAATTGTAGTCACATCAAAGTACATTGTTTTTCCTTTTCTGAGTAAATGAAAAAGACGATAGCAGGCTACCTGTTTAGCTTCTTCCATGAGTTCTTGGCCCAGTTTTTTCAACAATAATACAGTCTTTGGTGGAGATTTCCACATAAGCATCTGCTGCTGGGTGCTAGGATGAGTAAACGCCAAGGAAGATTCTGTTACCTTTTCTCTGTTGCAAGAGAATCCATCTGTGCGAACTAAAAACATCTCTGCTTTCTTTCTTGACTGCACTCTCACAACACCAGTCATAGAGGCACACATGTTTCCCTCAAGCAGCTCCACTCCATCATCACCTGAAGATATTGGGGCTTCAACATTGCTCCTCTGATCCACTGTCATGGTCATAGGTGTATTACCATCCCTCTCTAATTTACTGCTCACACCAATAGGATCAACAATGTTACTAATGACATTCTGTTTCCCTTTACTGTATCCATTCAAACCAGGACCCGAGGATAAATAACTATTTTGATCTTGATAAGTGCCATTACTACCAAGAAAACTCAGAGACTTCAAAGATAAGTTCTTACTGTTTAGAGACCCATTCGATATTGCTTCTTCCATAATCCTTGATTCTGGATAGCTCTCAGTGATTTCACTTTTCCGAGTTGTCCCATTAGACCTCCTTTTTGCACTATACAGCATCTCCAGTTTTTTATGTTCACAACTAAAGTATGTTGCAGGTGAGATCTTTTTACTTCTGAAAAACCTGGACATCACCATCTTGGAGAAAACATTGGGAGGAGGCAGCTGGGACTCAAGAGGGTTGACTTCACTGCAAAAGTGGATTGAAGATCCTAATCCAGTATCATCAACTGTTTGGATTGATCCAGGTTCTTGGTGGGGTACAACCCCATCATTGGCTCCATTACTACTGAGGTTTTCTGTAGGTGAAGAGACTTGATTGATAAACTCCACAGTGGAATCATAAATCTTATCCAACTTCTCTCGCACCAATTCATTTTCTTCCTCAGAAGCTGTCGAAGAGATGTAAAATTCTTCCATTCTTCTTGTATCTTGTTGTTGAACATCCGTAGGAGTGACTGTCTGAGTGGAGACGTTTTGCAATCCATAGCGAGCCATGAACTGCTTCCATCTAGAGACCATAGCAGCAGTTCTCCATACCCCTTCCCTACTATGGAGATATATGGGCTTTTTGCTGGAATCTGACACTAAAGCCGAAAACTTCTCGACCTGCTCCATTGAAGGCACAATGCCAACTTCAACCTCAAGTTTGACCAGTTCAACCTTCCCAGACAAAATAGCACTGTCTAATGCTGTCTGATAGAAGTTATCCTTCACAGTCTCTGCTCTAAGATCTACAATGGTTTTGAATCCTTTTTCCATTAGCCACTCCAGACCTTCATCAGTTACTTGGCCACCCTTCCAAAAAGCTACTTCAGAGTCTGTAGATTCCACGTCTTCCTTTAAGGAAGATAAATAAACAGGATTCCAGTTTGCAACTAATGTAGGGCATGGACAATCATCCCCACGAGGAAAGCCAGAATCATAGCAAACATTCTTCAGTCTTTGCAGTTTCCTCCATACATCCAAGCTTCGGGTATCATCAGGTGTCAAATAATTTTCAAGAGCAACATGTAAGCTCTCACAATACCTTTTCATCTCACCCCTGAAATTGGCAAGAGGTGGAAGCTTTTCTTCCATTACATTTAAATCTACATCGCGAAATGAATTTGTGAATGAGGATCTTCCTGAAAGCACATCCTCCCTTCCTTTATTCAGGAGACATATCATGCAACCAAGAACAGACACTATTTTGTCTTCCAACAACGGTTTATCTTCTGATGGGACATCATATGAAACACTACATTCTCCAGTCAAGGGATTACACAATGTGTCCATCAATGCATTATGAAACCGTTCAGAAGCTCTAAAGATTCTACAGTAAGCCTCAACTTCTGCAATTTCCCCAGGGAGTGGACCAATCCACGGCAACTGGGATAAGTTGTGGGACTTGACAGTCTTCAAATTCAAATAGAACAATCAGTATATGATGCAGAGTCATCAAGTCATAACATTATTCATCAGAACAAACCTCAAAAATTTATCAAACATAGCAAACTAAATGGAACAATATTGGCCACAGCACGAGAAGGGAGCAAAACAACGCATGTTAAAACTAGGAGCTAGGGACAACACCAGCATGCAGCTTATGGATGCAACAGAAAAAAGCAATGTTACATATAACAAGAAGCTAACGAGCAATTTGAAGAATGTCCTAGGTTTAAGAGCAGGTCGGCAGCATTAACAAATTGTTCATTCTAAATNAGATTTGGAAAAACTCATGTATTTCTTGGGTATTGAGGTGGCTCGATCTAAACAGGGTATTTATTTATCCCAGAGGAAATATGTATTTGACATGCTTGNCGCATGTTAAAACTAGGAGCTAGGGACAACACCAGCATGCAGCTTATAGATGCAACAGAAAAAAGCAATGTTACATATAACAACAAGCTAACGAGCAATTTGAAGAATGTCCTAGGTTTAAGAGCAGGTCGGCAGCATTAANTGCATGTTAAAACTAGGAGCTAGGGACAACACCAGCATGCAGCTTATGGATGCAACAGAAAAAAGCAATGTTACATATAACAAGAAGCTAACGAGCAATTTGAAGAATGTCCTAGGTTTAAGAGCAGGTCGGCAGCATTAACAAATTGTTCATTCTAAATATGGTCAAAGGAATCAAAGTTAAACTTTACCATCAAGTGCAAGAGGTGAGGGCAAAAAAGNATAGCAAAATCCAGTGCCGAGGCTGAGTATAGGGCAATGGCACATACGACGAGTGAGTTGACTTGACTACTACCCTTCCTCTAGGAAATTGGGTTTCCAGTTCAACTTCTTTTACAGTTGTTCTGTGACAACCAGACAGCTATCCATATCGCTGTCAATTTTGTGTTTCGCGAGAGAACAAAGCATATTGAGGTTGATTGTCACTTTATTCAAGACAAAATAGTAGTTGAGGAGATTACAACTCTATTNTTGTGTTTTGCGAGAGAACAAAACATATTGAGGTTGATTGTCACTTTATTCAAGACAAAATAATAGTTGAGGAGATTACAACTCTATTTATGAAATCTGAAGATCAGCTTGCAGATATGTTTACCAAAACATTGAGTCGTACACGTCTTACAACTATTTGTTCCAAGTTTGGATTATAAGATATATACAGTCCAGCTTGAGGGAGAGTGTTAAGAATAATAAGGTAGTATGTGTAAATTGTTAGTAGTAAGAGAGTGTATGTATAATTCTTAGTATTGTAGGTTAACTATAAATACAAGTGATGTATGAGAGCTAGATTAAGTTTTTAACCACTCTCTGTTTCTCTCTAATATTGTGTTAATTCTCCAAACTTAACATCTGCGAAGGCGAAAGGGACAGGTGTTTGATGATAAGGGTTGATAGCTTTTCTTTAAATTCAAGTGTTGATTTGTTTAAAATATGAGAAGAAGAGGTGTTATTTTGCTGTTAGATTGGCTGCATATTCTGTTTTTGGATGGAGCTGCTGTCTTGGTGTTGGTTTTTGCTTTCTAAAGGCAATGGCCTGTTTTGTTTCTTGAATTTTCGGTTTTGGTTTTTTTATGATGCAAAGGTGGTTTATATCTTTCTTTTGCTTCTTATAATGTTTTTTTTTTGTGAATAAATAAAATTTCTCTTTTTTTTTTTTTAAAGAAAAGTGATTTATACCTTTCTATAGGATTGATTGAATTGACATTTGAGATTGTTGACCATATCATTAATTTATCAAATTAATTCAATTTGTTAAGTCTCAATATTATTGTTGAAAGAAAAAACACGAGACTTAAGGATAAAATTTGAAATAGTTACCAAACATGTTTTTTATTTTTATTCTCATAATTTGATAGACACAAATGACTCCCGAATATATTTTCTGTTTCAGTGTTTACCACAAAACAGAGATAAAAATTGTCTTAGTTTTTTATTTTTTTGAAGACATGAAAACAAAAGCGTTACCAAACGACCCCTTAATTTTCACAACAACTCTATGCTAACCTAAGGTAAGAAAGTAGATAAATCTACCGACCAAATATATAGTACCAAGCTTTACAAGGAATTTAAGGCCATAAATTTTGGTTCTTAACAAGGGTTGCCTACCATGGAACCTCCAGCGGCTGTAGAATAAGCGGTACTTCCAGTAGGTGTGGCTACTATGACTCCATCACCTTGCACCTATCAATAAATGATGACAAAGACATAGGGCATAGAATCAAACATGCGGCGATATCAAAGTTTACATTAGGAAAATTTAGCATAAATGGTGATTGCAGTTGGAAGTTTATAATAAATTTTGACTCTGCTATAAGATGGCAAGCATCAAAAAAGTATTGACTACGTGCCGGCAGGAAGTTACTGATAGAAAAATGATCGTGAACTCATAAATTCACTTGTTATACCTTGGTTATGAGGCGGTCATGTTCATAACATTCAATTTTGGAAAGGTATGGGTTTGATCCACGATCAACTACAACCTCATTGAGGACGTCAAATACTTTCCCAGGCATTGCTTTCCCATTTCGAAAAATCTCACAGTGGAGACGCATTCTTAGAGTTATATAAACACCATCTAGTGTGTTGTTCCCATGGATGACTTGTCTTAAGTCCTGTTTATAGTCTTCAAACTGTTTCAGACGAAAGATAAAGTGAAAAGAAAGATCTCCTATAAAGAGACTTCAAAAAATAGTGAGAGTTAAGAAGCGTACAGTATGGGAAGTGAGAAATCCAAGAGATCCAAGATTAAATGAGACAACAGGGGGAACAGCACCTCTAAATAAATTTGATGCGTGGAGTATAACCCCATCTCCTCCCAAACAAGCTACTAGATCTACCCTCTCATGAAGATCACTGCATTGAGGACATTAGGTAAGATCAAAACTCTTTATGGATTATGTAGACATGAAAAGTATGAATGCTTTTCATTCTAGACCAATGAGTTCCGGCACCTGGTATCTTGACTATAGAAGGTCTGAACAAAACCAAACCCAGGGATTCTGGCAAAAATGTCATGTACCTCAGGTTCAACAAGAACATTCTTCTTCTCTTGGTGATACAAGAAAGAAGCAACCTGCATTTAAGGAGAAAATGTTGTTAAAATGGCTACACTCCTGATCTATAAACAATCCTGGATGTACAAGAATTTGCTACACCAAAATATCTTTCAAACAGCAGCAGCAAGTATAATTCAGAACTGAGAATATTTTTTAAAATATCAACATTTCCATTTATAAATCAATTCATTCTGAAACACACATATCCTGACAATTTTGGCCATCCAATGTTCAAGTTCCCACCAAAATTAATAAATTGATAATGCTATTGCCAGTAGACCTAACAGTATGAGCTGGATAAAATGGAATCAGTTCGGGGGATGATAGACCTTCAATCTCGCAAGGTAATGAGAATGGTTCAAATTTGACATAGTAAATTCATTTGGAGTTGTTCGTCTTCTTCAATCTCCAAAAAATTGTTGGACAGATGGCTTCACAAAAACTATTTCCTTATAAATCAACTCCTTTTTGGATTCCTAAACAGATTTTAGCTCCAGTCAATTATGGGACGAAGGGTCAGATATGAACAAGGAAAGAGGCATATTGTATAGGGTATAGGTGTATACACTAGTAATAAGCCACATGCCAACTAGCTCCTGGAAAGGCTTAATAGTTATCTCTACCATCATGTCAGTATCAAGAACGAATCATACAACTACCAATCCAGCAAACTCATAAAACTATTTCCTTATAAATCAACTCCGTTTGGATTCCTAAACAGATTTTAGCTCCAGTCAATTATGGGACGAAGGGTCAGGTATGAACAAGGAAAGAGGCATATTGTGTAGGGTATAGGTGTATACACTAGTAATAAGCCACATGCCAACTACCACCTGGAAAGGCTTAATAGTTATCTCTACCATCATGTCAGTATCAAGAACGAATCATACAACCACCAATCCAGCAAACTCATAAAACTTCTAAGTCAAATTTCTCAAAAAATGTTTGATGCCAATGATTTTAAGCATAATTCAATCATCAAAATGCATGTTTTACTTTGTGTAGTACATTTGTAGGGGGGTTTCAGATGAAGAAAGTTCAAAAAATAAGAGACTTTCTATTTGATCATGTAGTCACATATGCAATATCTGAGAGAATTTGTATTTTGATGCTGTTACTCATAAAATTATATTACAAAAAATTCTAATACAGCTTTCACAAAGTCCTAAAAAAGAAAATTAACTAAAACTAAGACAGAAATCACAAAACTATAACCCTAGGATTCTACCATGTTGAAACCCAATAAAAAATAAAAATTACTAGCTAGATCAAACAAGTGTAATCGAAAGGAAACCAAAACCAATCCATCATAAACTCTAAAAAGGAAAACAAAGAAAGAAAGACATCCCATACAAGGTTTGCTTTATTCTTCCCAAACAAGTTTACACTGCACCAAAAAAAGGGCACAATGTGGTTGCCCTCAGATTTAAACCTACAACCTCATCGTGGTTAGTCTGACACGTCTACCAGTGCATCAACCAATAGTCTGACACTTCTACCAGTGCATCAAGCAATGGCCCCTAAGAATACAACAAAATATATGATAATTTAATATTTTTTTATCTAGTACTACAAGATTCCAATCACAGAATGGCAAAAAAGAAATAGAACATCTAACAAATTAGGTCTCCTACAGGTATGGTCTGTGGGCTTGGGTGTCATTCATATAACATCTAACTAACTAATTTTCAAGTTCCTCCTTTCCTTTTTTGCATAATTTTCCAAGCTATTGACAATACATATATGCCTCATGCATTCTCTGAGTACTTGGATCGTGGGCCAGTTTGGTACATGTTGTGGATACGGACGGTATGCAATACAACACTTTGTTGGTACGTGATGTGCTGAGGGTAAACTTAGCTGGTACATTACTTTGGGTCACAATTCATTTTGAAATATTTATCTCGATCATTTTGACTACTATAAGAAATTATACAAAGTTACACATCTATACACAAATAGTCAATTAATATTTATTTTAGAATAGTGAAGAGATTTCTATTATTTGAAATTATATATGCATTCATCCACAGAGTCAATTAATATTTTCTTTATATTTGCGGGTTTAGATTACGATTTAGGATCAGAGATTATGGTGATCTAGACCACGAACCTACCCTGTCTGGGATCTTTGCCCCCAGATCAATGGGTCATCTGGTTTAGCGATTTCTAGTAACTGTGATGAAGATAACACACCTACACACAAGCACACAGAAAGAAAGTAAAGAACAGAAAAGGAAAAGGAAAAGAAAAGGGGAGAAGGGAGCACAATTGTCAACACAATATTACCACCAAATTGTAGTCACATCAAAGTACATTGTTTTTCCTTTTCTGAGTAAATGAAAAAGACGATAGCAGGCTACCTGTTTAGCTTCTTCCATGAGTTCTTGGCCCAGTTTTTTCAACAATAATACAGTCTTTGGTGGAGATTTCCACATAAGCATCTGCTGCTGGGTGCTAGGATGAGTAAACGCCAAGGAAGATTCTGTTACCTTTTCTCTGTTGCAAGAGAATCCATCTGTGCGAACTAAAAACATCTCTGCTTTCTTTCTTGACTGCACTCTCACAACACCAGTCATAGAGGCACACATGTTTCCCTCAAGCAGCTCCACTCCATCATCACCTGAAGATATTGGGGCTTCAACATTGCTCCTCTGATCCACTGTCATGGTCATAGGTGTATTACCATCCCTCTCTAATTTACTGCTCACACCAATAGGATCAACAATGTTACTAATGACATTCTGTTTCCCTTTACTGTATCCATTCAAACCAGGACCCGAGGATAAATAACTATTTTGATCTTGATAAGTGCCATTACTACCAAGAAAACTCAGAGACTTCAAAGATAAGTTCTTACTGTTTAGAGACCCATTCGATATTGCTTCTTCCATAATCCTTGATTCTGGATAGCTCTCAGTGATTTCACTTTTCCGAGTTGTCCCATTAGACCTCCTTTTTGCACTATACAGCATCTCCAGTTTTTTATGTTCACAACTAAAGTATGTTGCAGGTGAGATCTTTTTACTTCTGAAAAACCTGGACATCACCATCTTGGAGAAAACATTGGGAGGAGGCAGCTGGGACTCAAGAGGGTTGACTTCACTGCAAAAGTGGATTGAAGATCCTAATCCAGTATCATCAACTGTTTGGATTGATCCAGGTTCTTGGTGGGGTACAACCCCATCATTGGCTCCATTACTACTGAGGTTTTCTGTAGGTGAAGAGACTTGATTGATAAACTCCACAGTGGAATCATAAATCTTATCCAACTTCTCTCGCACCAATTCATTTTCTTCCTCAGAAGCTGTCGAAGAGATGTAAAATTCTTCCATTCTTCTTGTATCTTGTTGTTGAACATCCGTAGGAGTGACTGTCTGAGTGGAGACGTTTTGCAATCCATAGCGAGCCATGAACTGCTTCCATCTAGAGACCATAGCAGCAGTTCTCCATACCCCTTCCCTACTATGGAGATATATGGGCTTTTTGCTGGAATCTGACACTAAAGCCGAAAACTTCTCGACCTGCTCCATTGAAGGCACAATGCCAACTTCAACCTCAAGTTTGACCAGTTCAACCTTCCCAGACAAAATAGCACTGTCTAATGCTGTCTGATAGAAGTTATCCTTCACAGTCTCTGCTCTAAGATCTACAATGGTTTTGAATCCTTTTTCCATTAGCCACTCCAGACCTTCATCAGTTACTTGGCCACCCTTCCAAAAAGCTACTTCAGAGTCTGTAGATTCCACGTCTTCCTTTAAGGAAGATAAATAAACAGGATTCCAGTTTGCAACTAATGTAGGGCATGGACAATCATCCCCACGAGGAAAGCCAGAATCATAGCAAACATTCTTCAGTCTTTGCAGTTTCCTCCATACATCCAAGCTTCGGGTATCATCAGGTGTCAAATAATTTTCAAGAGCAACATGTAAGCTCTCACAATACCTTTTCATCTCACCCCTGAAATTGGCAAGAGGTGGAAGCTTTTCTTCCATTACATTTAAATCTACATCGCGAAATGAATTTGTGAATGAGGATCTTCCTGAAAGCACATCCTCCCTTCCTTTATTCAGGAGACATATCATGCAACCAAGAACAGACACTATTTTGTCTTCCAACAACGGTTTATCTTCTGATGGGACATCATATGAAACACTACATTCTCCAGTCAAGGGATTACACAATGTGTCCATCAATGCATTATGAAACCGTTCAGAAGCTCTAAAGATTCTACAGTAAGCCTCAACTTCTGCAATTTCCCCAGGGAGTGGACCAATCCACGGCAACTGGGATAAGTTGTGGGACTTGACAGTCTTCAAATTCAAATAGAACAATCAGTATATGATGCAGAGTCATCAAGTCATAACATTATTCATCAGAACAAACCTCAAAAATTTATCAAACATAGCAAACTAAATGGAACAATATTGGCCACAGCACGAGAAGGGAGCAAAACAATGCATGTTAAAACTAGGAGCTAGGGACAACACCAGCATGCAGCTTATGGATGCAACAGAAAAAAGCAATGTTACATATAACAAGAAGCTAACGAGCAATTTGAAGAATGTCCTAGGTTTAAGAGCAGGTCGGCAGCATTAACAAATTGTTCATTCTAAATATGGTCAAAGGAATCAAAGTTAAACTTTACCATCAAGTGCAAGAGGTGAGGGCAAAAAAGGATCAGCATGCCATTGGATGGATGCCACATGATACCTAACCAGCCAACCAACCTGATCTGTAATGGCTCTTGTACATTTATATATGACTATATGGTGCACATCTTATACGGTGAATAACAGACATGTACTAATTATAAACAAACACGTAACAATACAATTATCTTGGGTTGTGAATACTTCTTCCCAGCAGCCCTCAAAACCAGTACAAGCGTGCCGATGGGGACCTGTGATGACTATGGGTGTGTTCAAATGGACTTGTGATCTCAATAAAGTTGCAATGCATGGTATGAAGCACGCATACTTCGTTGAGGTTGGCATACCCGTATCGAATACCGTATCAGATATGATACTCATCGGATATACAAGAATACGTATCGGATACACCTTCTACATATCCGATAATAATTAAAAATAGGANCCAAGTTTGGATTATAAGATATATACAGTCCAGCTTAAGGGAGAGTGTTAAGAATAATAAGGTAGTATGTGTAAATTGTTAGTAGTAAGAGAGTGTATGTATAATTCTTAGTATTGAAGGTTAACTATAAATACAAGTGATGTATGAGAGCTAGATTAAGTTTTTGACCACTCTCTGTTTCTCTCTAATATTGTGTTAATTCTCCAAACTTAACATNGATACTTCACAGATACTTTTGTGGTCAAGCAACATATATAATTTTTGAGTTAAATTTTTAACATTTCTTTTCGAATTCACATACCATAACCATGCAATACATTAACAAAAAATCATATTACTTCAAAGGCACATAAGTATTTCTCAAGTATTANAATACTTCACAGATACTTTTGTGGTCGAGCAACATATATAATTTTTGAGTTAAATTTTTAACATTTCTTTTCGAATTCACATACCATAACCATGCTATACATTAACAAAAAATCATATTACTTCAAAGGCACATAAGTATTTCTCAAGTATTANCTGCGAAGGCGAAAGGGACAGGCGTTTGATGATAAGGGTTGATAGCTTTTCTTTAAATTCAAGTGTTGATTTGTTTAAAATGTGAGAAGGAGAGGTGTTATTTTGTTGTTAGATTGGCTGCATATTCTGTTTTTGGATGGAGCTGCTGTCTTGGTGTTGGTTTTTGCATTGTAAAGGCAATGGCCTGTTTTGTTTCTTGAATTTTCGGTTTTGGTTTTTTTATGATGCAAAGGTGGTTTATATCTTTCTTTTGCTTCTTATAATGTTTTTNAGAACTATCAAAATATATAAGTATTAAACTAGTTGAAAATAATAAAAATATTAAATATATTTTATTATAGTTGTATCTTGGTCGTACTCGTATCTTATTTTTTTAGACTTTGTCGTATCGTCGTATTCATATCGTACTCGTATTCTATATCCGTATTCGTGCTTCATAGAATGTATGTCTCAAAATTTTCCTGACCACGCCGAGTGCCTACAGATGTTTTGGTACAATTTCGACCTTCCCAAGTGCGTAAAGGCAGTACAGCTTTTTGAGCATCTGATGTAGCAAACAGAGTGGTCTAGAAGAACANATAGTTACCAAACATGTTTTTTATTTTTATTCTCATAATTTGATAGACACAAATGACTCCCGAATATATTTTCTGTTTCAGTGTTTACCACAAAACAGAGATAAAAATTGTCTTAGTTTTTTATTTTTTTGAAGACATGAAAACAAAAGCGTTACCAAACGACCCNATATAAGATAGCAGCCTCACCAAAGAGCAAAGTTTAAAACTATAATCAACTTTCAACTAATTCATTTTCATCTATATTTTACCAAGAAGGTTTTAAGGGTCAAATTCATTTTCAGCTATATTTTACCAAGAAGGTTTTAAGGGTCAAACAATTCCAAAGAATATGAACAGTTAAGAGTGGCACTGTAAAAATGATTCTTTTGCCAAATAAGGATCCCTTTTATAACCTAAGGCCGACCAAATTTGGGGTGATGGTGAATGGATCAGGCCACATTAAATTGGCAAAGAGGGAAGAACAATGTTTCAAATCTGGATCATAGCATTTACTAAAATAAAACAGCAATGACCCAAGTTGCAACAATCAGAAACAATATTAGAAAAACAGAAATGAACCCTTATTGCATTCAATTCAATCTCAGAAGAGATGGTCAGGGATGATTGCCTATCTCATGGCAATGCAGACACAACAGAATTCCCAACATCCCACCGCAACATTTTCGTACCACTCCTGTCAGTTGTAGCCACCAAATAGCTAAAAAATTCAACAATTTGACCACCAGGTATAGTCGAATAATAATTTTATCATAAAATGGACTCACATATTAAAAAAAAAAGAAATGGATGACATTGATCATACCCATTATAATCCAAGTAAACGGGATTGGGTATCCGGTTGGGTCCTCTGGCCAGAGTACAAACTTAAACTTCGGTATAGGGTACACAGAGTGGCTGCCCACTTATACAACCCCTTTNGCGTAAAGGCAGTACAGCTTTTTGAGCATCTGATGTAGCAAACAGAGTGGTCTAGAAGAACAAAATGGAAAAACACGATGCCCCTTAATCTAATGGAACTTCCAAAAGCAAGAAAACTGCAATATAAGATAGCAGCCTCACCAAAGAGCAAAGTTTAAAACTATAATCAACTTTCAACTAATTCATTTTCAGCTATATTTTACCAAGAAGGTTTTAAGGGTCAAACAATTCCAAAGAATATGAACAGTTAAGAGTGGCACTGTAAAAATGATTCTTTTGCCAAATAAGGATCCCTTTTATAACCTAAGGCCGACCAAATTTGGGGTGATGGTGAATGGATCAGGCCACATTAAATTGGCAAAGAGGAAGAACAATGTTTCAAATCCGGATCATAGCATTTACTAAAATAAAACAGCAATGACCCAAGTTGCAACAATCAGAAACAATATTAGAAAAACAGAAATGAACCCTTATTGCATTCAATTCAATCTCAGAAGAGATGGTCAGGGATGATTGCCTATCTCATGGCAATGCAGACACAACAGAATTCCCAACATCCCACCGCAACATTTTCGTACCACTCCTGTCAGTTGTAGCCACCAAATAGCTAAAAAATTCAACAATTTGACCACCAGGTATAGTCGAATAATAATTTTATCATAAAATGGACTCACATATTAAAAAAAAAAGAAATGGATGACATTGATCATACCCATTATAATCCAAGTAAACGGGATTGGGTATCCGGTTGGGTCCTCTGGCCAGAGTACAAACTTAAACTTCGGTATAGGGTACACAGAGTGGCTGCCCACTTATACAACCCCTTCATGAAATCATTATTACCCGGACAATTTGACTCTGTACCAGCCAATTGCCCTCGTAATCCAGAGTGAACACCTTAACAACGTAAATCAAGCAACTCAATGCAACCCAATTTCCAAAATCTAAACACAACACTCATTTCGATACAAAAAAAAAAATCGTACAAATAACTTTTGGAGGAAAACAAGAAAAAGGTAACTCCTGGGGTCACTTGGGCATTTCAACAAACATATTTCCTCAATCTACATATTCTTTTGTGTGTGAATCAAGCAAAAACAGAAGCACAGTCACGAAACGAAAGCAATAATAACAAGCTGACCTGTTTGTCCAAACCGAAGTTGTTCACAGAGAAAGGCTTGGAGAGGTCAGCACTGACAACAAACTTAAGACGACGCCGTACTAATGATCTCTCCTTCCTCTGAAACACAAACCCAAATAGCTTCGTGTCCCAGTTGCCGGAAAATTTATGGGAATTCAAAGAAAAAAGATGGGTTACTCCAGTGGCCATAGTCCGATTCATATTCATGTCGACGGCGACGGCCATGTGGCAGGACCAACAACAACATGCCATAGCCATGGCACCATAGAAAGTATAGAAGTTATGGGTCGTGTATATACATGTATATATATGTGTATGAATGTGGGTATAAATATCTATGATCTGCCGGAATTTGGGGCAGAAGATAAATAAAAGACAGAATATTTTGTGGATAATATCGATGGGTAAGTGGTGGGAGTATGATTTGAACTAATTAGTGGGGCTGGTCATTCTTGCTCTCCCTGTTTCGGTTTATCCATTTGATTTTTTTTTGTTTTTTGAGTTTGTGTTTTTTTCTTTGATGTGATGTTGCTTGCTCTGACGTGGTGTTTTTCTTTGATGTTGCTTGCTCTGATCCTCTCAATTTCGATTTTTCTTTTTTTTTTCTCTCTCATTTTTCCAAATAAGTGTGTAGACTTTTCAATAACACCCAATCCCAACGAAGTCTAAATAATCCAACTATAATAAAATGAATTTCACTAGTATGCCGACGAAAATTTCATTCACATCTTCGTAGATTATCACAATTTAATTTAAAAACTTTTTATTTATTATTTACAACTTTACTAATATTTCTATTATTTTTATCACTTGAGGTAACAAAAAGACATGTTTTATAGATTCGACTATGTGCTTTTATATTGCATATTAAGTGACTTAGCAAAGAAGGCAGAGAGAAAGGGGGAAAGGGGTGAGGTGAGGTGAGTTGAGTTGAGAGGTTCATCTCTAAAGCCATCTAGCTTGCTGCCAAATAGCATTATTGGTAGTCCCTTAATTGCATTACATTTTCGTTACAAAAGCGGGTAACTCAAATGATACTCATTGTCGTCAATCTCATAGTTGTTATTGTGACCACGTTGCTGCCATTTAAAGCTTTCTGAGGCATTAAGGTATCAAACTCATATTAGACTAGGTCAAATGGGTCATTAAGTCCAAGTAGCAAAAAACTTCACTAAGCAATTCCGTGTTGGACAACATCATTGTTCCAAGTAAAGCCAAAAGATCCAAACCTTATCCCATGAAGCCAACGAAATCTTTGAAAGTAAACTTGGATCCAAATATGACTTGAATACAATTCATATATAACTGTGATAATGGCAATTTCAAGAATATCATTACGATGCCTCGGGCTCTTTGATATTTGGTGTTATCACTTGAGTTTTGCTTCAGAATGCCCTGATGGGGGAGGGGGTCTCCTTAAAGCACTTGGATGTGGCAAACCCTANGGACTTGAATACAATTCATATATAACCGTGATAATGGCAACTTCAAGAATATCATTACGATGCCTCGGGCTCTTTGATATTTGGTGTTATCACTTGAGTTTTGCTTTAGAATGCCCTGATGGGGGAGGGGGTCTCCTTAAAGCACTTGGATGTGGCAAACCCTATTAGCCCAGCCTTAGCACGTGTAAGTGGGGAGTTAAAAGAGGTTGACACATATGTATATACCAAGAGTAATCGAAAGAGGTGAGTAGGGTAAGTGAATGGGATGAAAGGAACTCAAGCAGTCTGTTAATGAAGGGAAGAATCAGTTGGGCAGAGAGTAGGTGAAAAATGCTCTCACCAGTCAGGAAAAATCATCCTATGCAGTGGACAAGTAATGTGGGCATTTATAGTACAGTGCCCAGGCAAGTCGGGCTGCCTAAAGAGCTGTCCACTGCGACCCCCTATCACCCGTGCGAACCCACAACCACCTCGATCACGACGATATCAGTGATCATTAACGCGAGTAATGCGTCCCAACATTAACTAGGCAAATGTGATATTTTCTCAAACACAACCTAGGCGTAGCCTTGAGGAAGGTGTAACGGTCAAGGCAAGAGCGGGCTCTCAAGGTCCATAACCGCGATTGGTCACCGTGGGACCATGACCTCGAGAGGGCCATGTTTGCGATGCCCCCAACGCGCTCTTACCCAGGGTCCTTCTTTCCCTCTCTAGACTCTTCCTTAAGACCTTTGTCGAGGTGTNTTGCTTCAGAATGCCCTGATGGGGGAGGGGGTCTCCTTAAAGCACTTGGATGTGGCAAACCCTATTAGCCCAGCCTTAGCACGTGTAAGTGGGGAGTTAAAAGAGGTTGACACATATGTATATACCAAGAGTAATCGAAAGAGGTGAGTAGGGTAAGTGAATGGGATGAAAGGAACTCAAGCAGTCTGTTAATGAAGGGAAGAATCAGTTGGGCAGAGAGTAGGTGAAAAATGCTCTCACCAGTCAGGAAAAATCATCCTATGCAGTGGACAAGTAATGTGGGCATTTATAGTACAGTGCCCAGGCAAGTCGGGCTGCCTAAAGAGCTGTCCACTGCGACCCCCTATCACCCGTGCGAACCCACAACCACCTCGATCACGACGATATCAGTGATCATTAACGCGAGTAATGCGTCCCAACATTAACTAGGCAAATGTGATATTTTCTCAAACACAACCTAGGCGTAGCCTTGAGGAAGGTGTAACGGTCAAGGCAAGAGCGGGCTCTCAAGGTCCATAACCGCGATTGGTCACCGTGGGACCATGACCTCGAGAGGGCCATGTTTGCGATGCCCCCAACGCGCTCTTACCCAGGGTCCTTCTTTCCCTCTCTAGACTCTTCCTTAAGACCTTTGTCGAGGTGTCCAATAGAGGAAACTCACAGAGTTTCAGTCCTCCAGCCACCAATTCACATGTCTCATCATCTCATATGCTGATACGGACCAATAACCCCAGTTACCTTAAGAGTATCTTTGGATGTCAGTCAAGCACATCCTAGCGAGCAGTGAGTCATACATTGGGAGGCCTGCTTGAGCAGATTAAACCTTCGAGATCCTACCTCAGGCCGAAGTTGACAATCATGCTTGTCCACCACTATTGCTCAGTTCTCCCTTGAGGAGGGTCGTACTTTTATGTCCCTAGGTGGGGACATNGTAAGTGAATGGGATGAAAGGAACTCAAGCAGTCTGTTAATGAAGGGAAGAATCAGTTGGGCAGAGAGTAGGTGAAAAATGCTCTCACCAGTCAGGAAAAATCATCCTATGCAGTGGACAAGTAATGTGGGCATTTATAGTACAGTGCCCAGGCAAGTCGGGCTGCCTAAAGAGCTGTCCACTGCGACCCCCTATCACCCGTGCGAACCCACAACCACCTCGATCACGACGATATCAGTGATCATTAACGCGAGTAATGCGTCCCAACATTAACTAGGCAAATGTGATATTTTCTCAAACACAACCTAGGCGTAGCCTTGAGGAAGGTGTAACGGTCAAGGCAAGAGCGGGCTCTCAAGGTCCATAACCGCGATTGGTCACCGTGGGACCATGACCTCGAGAGGGCCATGTTTGCGATGCCCCCAACGCGCTCTTACCCAGGGTCCTTCTTTCCCTCTCTAGACTCTTCCTTAAGACCTTTGTCGAGGTGTCCAATAGAGGAAACTCACAGAGTTTCAGTCCTCCAGCCACCAATTCACATGTCTCATCATCCCATATGCTGATACGGACCAATAACCCCAGTTACCTTAAGAGTATCTTTGGATGTCAGGCAAGCACATCCTAGCGAGCAATGAGTCATACATTGGGAGGCCTGCTTGAGCAGATTAAACCTTCGAGATCCTACCCCAGGCCGAAGTTGACAATCATGCTTGTCCACCCTTATTGCTCAGTTCTCCCTTGAGGAGGGTCGTACTTTTATGTCCCTAGGTGGGGACATCTCCTCTTAGTCCAGTGGGTCAATCGAGCAATGGTGTCCAATAGGTTGAAGACACCACTCCTGTAATGGGGGAGACGAGTTTTGTAGAGATTGTCTCATACTTCTGCGATTCACTTTTGTCCACTCTTAGTTAAGGGTCCACTTTTCCACTTCCAATGCAATGGGGATGTATGTCGCCCTGTTGTGATGCTGTGTCTGAGAGCGTCATGTCGAGGGGGCGTCGCGCCGAGGTTGNGTGGGGGAGACGAGTTTTGTAGAGATTGCCTCATACTTCTGCGATTCACTTTTGTCCACTCTTAGTTAAGGGTCTACTTTTCCACTTCCAATGCAATGGGGATGTATGTCGCCCTGTTGTGATGTTGTGTCTGAGAGCGTCATGTCGAGGGGGCGTCGCGCCGAGGTTGCCTCATACTTATGCGATTTCACTTCTGTCCATCATTGGTGAAGAGTCCATTTTGCCACTTCTAATGCGATGGAGATGTATTTTTCCATGATGTGGTATTGTGCTTGAGGGCGTCGCACCTAGTGACATCATGCCCAGGGGCGTCGAGCTAAGAGGTGTCGCGTTTGTCACTGTTATCTATACTAGTCCATCTNTCCATGATGTGGTATTGTGCTTGAGGGCGTCGCACCTAGTGACATCATGCCTAGGGGCGTCGAGCTAAGAGGTGTCGCGTTTGTCACTGTTATCTATACTAGTCCATCTGAACTTTGTCGGACATCATTTTCATATCAATTAATAATTATTGTCACTTGTCCTATTATGGTAAAAACATGTATCTTTTAAGTTTTTCGAGTACTACATTTGCCCCCTACGCACGCCAGGTCGTCGGAAGCGTCCTGCACGTGCACCCCATTTTTTGTTTGCACTTGTCGTTTAACGGTAACTATCGTCTGTGAGCTAATCGTGGTGCTGATGACTAAAATTTTTTCATAAAATTGGCCCAAGTCTTTTGTCGTCATTTCTCTATTGCTAAAAATATTATCGTGGTTAGTTGCCCCTGCATGCATGGACCTTCTTTTGATGAGCTTTGCATGCATAATGGTTGCAAGGACTTGTGTATTTTTGTCCTTGTGCATTTTTTTTTAGGTGTATCTCTTTATCCTTGTACCAAATAGAAAACCTTGACTACCATTGAGCGGTGATTCCCCAAGTGGGGCGAGGTTTACTTCCTCAAGCTCCTACTCATGTAGCTTAGGGCGATCCTCCANGAGGACTTGTGTATTTTTGTCTTTGTGCATTTTTTTTGAGGTGTATCTCTTTATCCTTGTACCAGATAGAAAACCTTGACTACCATTGAGCGATGATTCCCTAAGTGGGGCGAGGTTTACTTCCTCAAGCTCCTACTCATGTAGCTTAGGGCGATCCTCCATGCATTCTGGCGCAGG